TCAACTCAGGTTGATCTCTCATCTTCTCAGCATCAAACACGTTCTGATCTCCAACTATCACTTCAGGTATTGCACTTACTTGGAATGTCTGACCATCTATGGTTAGATCCTTCAGCTTCTCCATCTTGAAAGTCATGATGGTATCTCCCAAGTGGAGATCAAGGTTACCATGCTTGAAATCAATCACCGCTCCAGCTGTAGCTAAAAATGATCTTCCCAAGATAAGAGGATCTTTGGGTTCCTCTCCATATTCCAGAACCACGAAATCTGTAAGAATTATGCAATCACCAACTTTAATCGGAACATCCTCCAAGACACCTTTTGGGATTCTTTTAGATCGATCTGCTAGGATTAGAGAGATTTTAGTTGGTTTGAAATCAGTCATTCCAAGGCTTACAGCTACAGAGTATGGCATGAGGTTGACACTCGAACCAAAATCACACAGCGATATCTTGAACCTCTCTGAGAAGATAGAGCAGTCCAAAACAAAGCTTCCTGGGTCCGAGAGCTTCTCTGGAATCTTATTCTGAATCACAGCACTGACTTGTTCAGAAATCATCATCACTCCTTCCTCATGACTCAGATTATTAGTCACCATCCTCTTCACATAGTGTCTGAAAGTAGGAGCAATCTTCAAAGCATCAAACAAAGGAATCTCAATCACAAGCTTCTCCATCAAAGCCTTGCATCTAGCATCGTCTAGCTCCTGATTGGACTTCCTAGGACTCATTGGGTAAGGAACCTTAGGTTTGTAGACTCTTTCTTCTGTTGGTTTCGGATTCTGAACAACTTCAGCTTCACTCTGCGATTGGTGTCGCGCGACACTAGTGGTGGTGTCGCTCGACACTGGCTCTGTAGTTTCGAAATTTTCTTCAGATTCGTCCAACTCCACGATTTCATCCTCAGAAACACCCTTTTTAAGCACAGGAGTCAACTTTTTACCACTCCTTAACGAGATGTCACTGCAGTAATGCCTAGGATTGGTATCAGTCTTCCCAGAAAAGAATCCTTCTTGCCTTTTTACAGATTCTGCAGTCTGAGCAACCTGAGTATCAAGGTTCTTGACATGAGTGTTCAGAGCTTCAATTTTTCCATTCAGATCCAGATACAGAGCATCAATCTTCCTATTGAAATCCACAGTCATCTTCTGCTGACCTTCCAAGATCTGTTCCAGCATAGACTTCACCTCATTATCTGGAGTTTGTGTAGGAGGAGAACCATAGTTCCTTGAAAAACTATTGTTGGAGTAGGATGTCTGGTACTGAGGTTTGGAGTTATAATCAGAAGAGTTCTGATTACCTGTGAAGGTACTCCTCTGATTATTTCCACTGTAATTCATGTTTCCTGGCTGAATACCAAATCTCTGACCCTGAAATCCAGCTCCATTGATGAAGTTAACATCCTCTTCCTCAAGTGCTTCATCTGGTTCGAAATTCTTAACTTCTGCAGCGTATCGGACGGACTTCTTACCCACTAGAAGGCTATGCACAGAGTCAAGCTTAGCCTTCACCTCAGCAATTTGTGATCCATCCATGTTCCCAACCTGCTTCCTTCGCTGATAGTCTGCATTCTTGGTATTATTGCTAGATGCCAAGTTTTCGATGAGCTCAACAGCTTCGTCTGGGTATCTGGTGTTGAAGTTTCCATTGCTCGCTGCATCAAGAGCCATCTGATACCTCCAATCAATACCTCTGAAGAAGATACCCAGCAACTGCACATCGCTGAAGCCATGATGGGGGCAATCTCGCTGGTACGATTTGAATCTCACCCAAGCAGCTTTGAACGCCTCAGTTGGTTCTTGAGAAAAAGTTGAAATTTTCGTCCTCAATTCCTCAGACCTAGCATCATTGAAGAAGTTGTGCAGGAAAGCATTCCTGGTCTCTTCCCAAGTAGTGAGTGATCCTGGCTCCAACTGCTTCAACCAGTTAGCTGCTTCTCCAACAAGAGAATAAGGAAACAGCTTGCAGAGGAGGAAATCATTGGACACTCCATTGTACTTGATGCTGGTGACCAAGTCCTCAAACCTCTCGATGTGATCCATAGGGTGCTCATGAGAGTGGCCATGAAAGGAGTGCTGGCCAACAAGAGTGTAGTACACATGCTTCAGCTCAAAATCGTTTCTTTGAAACGCAGGGGCGCGAATCGCAGAACGATTTGCATAGAACTGCTCAGGCCTGTTGTAATCTCCAAGTGTTCGTCCATGACCAGCTGCAGGTGCAGGTTCCCTCACATTCCGATCTTCTGGAGCGTTCCTCTGATGTGGAACGATCACAGCATTCCCACGCGGTGCAGGTGGTGGATTCTGGTCAACAACATCCACTGGTAAAGGTGCTGGTGGAATGATGTTACCATATCCATCAAGCCTTTGGCCTCTCGCATTGCACACATGACCCTCTTGGTCTCTCCAGATTCCATCATCATCACGAACAAGTCCATTGGCATTTTCCATCATTGCCGGATCCCTTGCTTTCTTGTTCGTTCGCTCTAGCTCAGCTAGCTCTTCGTTGCTCAAATTCACTAGTGGCATGTCCTTGTTGCTTCTGGTTCCACGAGTATGCATAAACCTGAAACACCAAAAACAAAGAGAGAAAACGAAATAAGTAAATTAGGTTATAAAAAAAGAAAAGGTGTCGCGCGAGCTGTCGCTCGACACTAGGTCGAAAAACTTAGTCGAAACTCAAAAACTAGGTTTAATGGCGAAATCAAGTCCCCGGCAACGGCGCCAAAACTTGATCTGCTTAAAGTTTAATCCCTAAGCTACTCTGCAAGAGCACAGATGTGCAGTTGTAGTATCTAGGGGTCGAACCACAGAGACAAGAGATCACTCAATAAACCTTGTGTAGATGGAGTTACGCTAAGCTGAAGTATGCGAAACAAATAGTAATGCGACAGAAATAAATAAAACAGCAAGGAAAACGGTTTGTAAATTCGATTGGATAAAGACTAGGTCTAGGGTGATTTTCAGGAGATCAATGAATGCAGATCAACTTAACTAATCAGGGTTCAGTTATTAAGCTCGGTTCTTGAACTCGAAACACAGAATTATAATTAACCAACTTCCGTTGTGAGAATTATCTAAGTTAAAATCCTAGAATCCCAAATTCCTTTGCAGATCCTACAGATTTAAACCAGCCTTAATGCACAAGTTCGATATGTTCACAAAGCAACTAAACCAAATTCCTTTGCGAATAATTACTTTGCTCAACCTAGGTTCTTTCCAGTTATTCAATTACACTTCCGTGTCAATTAAGCAACCTAAGATCTAAGTTCTAGGTGATCAATCCAGAATTAGCTTTAAGAACAACCTAAGGTGAAGAACAAATAGATATGAACCCTAACTAGCAAGTTAATTAAACATTCAAAGAAAACCCTAATTAACCCTAAACCTAACAGGTGATCTACTCAGACATGGTTATTGAAACAACAAACATGATGAATAGAAAGCAATAGATTAAATCGAAATAGATAAAGGGGTTCGAAATCTTCTCTCTAAACGAATAGAGTTCAGACTTGTCTCCCAAAGCTCAGAAATCGCAAAAGCCGAAAACTCAGAGTATCTCTCTCTCAAAAATCTAAGGTTATCGTAAAAAGGGAATAAAAATCCTATATATATCTCTAAGACACGTCTTGGGCTTCCTTGAAAACGTTTGGACCCAACTCCTTCTTCAAACAGGAAACAAAATCGCCTTTTCCTTATTTCTCTGACAAGTGTCGAGCATCACTCTCCATGGTGTCGAGCGTCACTAAAGCACAAAATCCATACTTGACGAATTTGATCCTTGTTAAGCTCTAAAGTGCTCCAAAATCTCCAGTTAAGCTCCAAACGTACCTATGACCTGAAAAGACTCCAAAAGACTCAAAAGACACTAAAAAGACTATAAATAAGACATATACCATGGTTAAAAACCATAAAAACCATGATATATCATGAATCCTAGTGTCCTATGAATCACACATAAATAGTATTACTATATAATCTATAGATTGATTAAATAACAATAAACAAAATACATAAGATCGCATACAAACCTCTTCGTCAACCAATACCATTTCTATAACAAAGCTAGACTGCCTGTTCTTGACTTTCCAAATTGAAAATATAGTAGCTCTAACTTTCTGAATTTCACTTGATTGATCTAATTTGGCAAATGGAACTATAGCAGCCAAACGTCTGCGAACTAAAGCCATTTTTGTGAATGAGAATGGTAGAGTTTTAAGGTTTAGGATAGGTGGTATATATAAGGAGAGGAAGTCAATGAGAACATTTAAAATTGATGTTAGGCAGGATTGAAATTATTTTGAAAAAGAGAATGAAATGAAAAATATGGATATTCAGAATGTGCCTAGAAGTATGTATTGTTGCAGAAATATTAGAGAATCAATATATTCAAATTGATTTAATTGCCAAAATTGACGTATAGTATTAAAATGTAAGATAAATTCTTGTTTCTTTTTGAAATATTGAGGTTTCTGTATATTCTGTTATATTAACTCCGGTAAATCTTGCTAATAGTTAATGTAACTTTTATTTTGGTAAAAAATTACGCGGAAAAGTTTTTTAAAACCATAATTTCAAAAATTTGATAAATGGGTTTGTATGAAGTATTGGGCCAAAGGATGTTTTTAAAATACAGATAATTGGGCCGGGTCGGGTATAAAGATCCGCATGTTTATCCGTTTATGATTTTCTATTTTTTTTAAAAACAGAAAAACTTGGACAGAAATTACACATCAGCATCAGCATCCAATGAAATTGCGCAGAACTAGCGCCCTTGCCATGTCACATTTGATGTGGAATAAACATCATCACTGACGTTGGCAAAGGAGCTTTTCTAAGCCAACCAAATTAAAACAAATCAGATTTTTCATTAAACTACATTCTCATTTAATATATAGGATTCTTGTTGTTGTTGGTAAATTGTCGTATCGTTGGTAATCTTATAATATTAAAGGAGAAGTACATTTAGGAAATTGACCTCGGTGTTACGTGGTATATTACAATGAATGTCATTGTATAAAATGTATCCCACGAACAAAAAAAAAAACTCAAACCAAAGAGGATCCACGTCCTTTTAAAAATGACCCGTTTAAAAGGACATGGATCCTTTAATTTGACCCGTTTTGTACTTTAGGCAGTTAATGATTTTTAAAGATGTAATCCCTTTGAAATATTTAGCTCCTAATAATCGGAAGAAATGAAATAGATATTGCAATAAATATGATTACATATTAAGAACATTACGCATGAAAGAATCTTGAATTCAAAATATAAGAGAAAATCTGCAAATCTTCAAATCATTTTTTCGCATACCCGAATATTAACACAATAATAACAACTTCCAATAATGATGTATTTGGCTATTTGCCATAATATTGTATTTAATTTAGTTAAACAATTATACTTCGCCGCCAATGTATCTTACCTCTTAACGGCATTGTACAAAATCCTCAATTTTTATTCTGAGCTATTGCTAAATATCAATATATGAGAATATGCTATTAGTTTGTTATTGAATATTATCTCATTTATTTCGCATCACCGTATAGATACTCAATAACAACTACTTTACAAAAAAGTAAGATTCGCTATTTCCAATCGATATTGTGTTCAATTTGAATTGAAAAAAATATACTTGGCCGCCAATTTACATACAGCTCAACGGTATTGCGAAAGTCCTATACTGTTTCACTATAAAGACGTTATCGTATTCCATTTCACTCCACATCATCTACAACTTTCTTAACTTTTAGTTCACTTCAATTCTTTGCAATGGTTTCCAACATAGGGTTAACCCCTTTGGCTGACTTAAAGCCATTCAAGACTTGGTGGTGCAGGTGAAGGTGCTTCACACTTGGAAGCAATACCAGACTAAGAGTGGAGAGTCTCTCAAAATCGTTCTCGCAGATGAAATGGTATGATCAAAGTGAATGTGTAATTACATTTTTTTTTACTAACTATTAATGGTTTACTTATAAACAATTTTTATTTTCAGGGTACCAAAGTCCACACTACTGTCAAGAAAAACCTGTTGCATTGTTTTGAGCGGTTGATGGTTGTTGGTGAATGGAAGTTCATCGAGAAATTTTCACTGAACCAGGCATCAGGTCAATACCGGGCCACAAAGCATCAATTCAAGATATCCTTCATTTTATCCACCGTTGTCAGCAAAAGTGCTAATCGATCTGACAGTCGATTTTTTTAGTTCTTAGATTATGATACAATCTTGAACGATGCCACAAGTACAATTTTTTTGATCGGTGAGTTTTCATTTATCTATATAGTTAGTTTATTACATTTATATATGTATTCATCTGACTTCATTTTTCAAAATACCAGATGTTATTGGACGAGTTGAAAGTGTACGTGAACTGGAAACAATCCCTGTCATGAACAAGGATATCAGCAAGCTTGAGTTCAACTTGTGGAATGCAAAGTGAGTATATACGGTTAACGTTTTTTATCCTTTTAAATATTTACTCTAATCTAATTGAACCGTATTATATATAGAGAGGAGCGCTTACCATGCACATTTTGGGGTAAATTTGGTGAGCAAGTCTATTCGGCGTGTCAGAATGCTAGTGAACGTGGTGTCATCATTGTAATCCGTTTTGGAAAAATCAATGTGTTTAGAGGTAAAAATATTTAATTACAAAATTGTTGTTTCAACATAAAATAAAATTCATTTTGATTATTTGTTTAAATTATCATAGGTGAACGTCAAATTACCAGTTCTTTCCAAACCTCTAAGGTGCTCATAGATCTTAACGATCCAGATGTTATTGATTTCAAAAATAGGTAAACAATTTATTTATATACCACACACATATTTTGACAATGTGATTATTAATAAAAAAAAATTTTCCAATATGAAGTTTACCTGCAAATGGCGGAAATATTACTTTCTTGAGTAGCAAGCCACATCAGAGGATTTCTTATGATGATGAGAGTAATTTTGATCAGTTTCCAATGATGACTATTGCTGAACTGCAAGATTAACTGGAGATATATAACAAAGTTGTCATAACTTTATTATATGTTGATAAAATGATATGTCTTTGGGAAATGATTTTTTAATATAAAACTAATAACATAAAATACTTAAAACGTATAAAACCTTATATATGGTATCGACTAAATTAAAGGTATAACTCAAACCTTAACTTTTATGTGTTAGTTTATCTATACAGTTTATGCAATTATGGTGACTGTTCTATTGTTAAATATTCAGGTTGGAAAATGTAAAATCATGTGTACTGTATACGCGGTTGATACAGATTGATCATGGTTTTACTTGGTTTGCACTAAGTGTGGGAAAAAAGGTCTACAAAATCCCAAAACGTGAAGACGAGAAATTTTTTGATAAAACTAAGAAGTTTTATTCATGTGAAACATGTGATGCCAAAGTTTCATCTGTCAGTGCGAGGTAACTAAATTTTATAAATTACTAAATAACAAATTGTTTGCCAAAAACATATAATCACATGTTTACATTTAAATTATATTGTAGATACAAACTCCATCTTTGTGTAATGGATAACACGAGCAAGATCAAATGTTTTCTTTTTGATTCAAATGCAAAGGATATTGTTAACCAATCTGCTGATAAAATTTTAAAAAGGACATACTATGAGGTATTATACACTTTATGTATTTTATTTCAAAGAGTTTTATATTAAAAAATCATTTCCCGAATACTTAATATTTTTCAACATAGATACAAGATCCAGATGTCGTTTCTGATGCACTGCAAAACTTGGTTGGGAAGACTTTTCAGTTTTTAATTTGTGTTGAGAAAGAAAATCTCTACGGTGGTAGTAATACATACAAGGTCGGAAATGTTTGGAAAGGCAAACAGGTTTTGACTATCACCATTGATGAGGTGAATGAATCTGAAGATGGGAGTGATCAGAGTTTACTCATGTCTGGCGACCAGGTAAAATTCATATCATGTGAATGGATTTTTTATATTTTTGGGACAATACTATATCTTGAAATTTTTTTTATTTATAGGCATCACTGATGAACACACATAGCCAAGAGTCTTCGGATGATGTTTCTGGCAATATCAAAACTCCTTTATCAAAGCGTGAGCGAGATGATCCTAAAGATTCAGTCGACTCATCCTCATCGTCTATGAAGTCATGTAATAGTGGGAATAGTGTGGAAACGACATATGTGAATGAAGTGATTGATGAGGATACACTGAAAAGTGATGGTGTTTGGTGAACGGTCTTCTTACAAGTGAATCCAATGAATGTGTTGCAAATGGACGAACTCGAGGACGTGGTGGTGGTAATGTAGTTGGGAGAGGGAGGCAAAAATGGGAAGATGTGATCCCATATATTCTGTAGTTTATGAATTTGTTATTATTCAATTTTTAATTGAATAACTTTCTCTTTTCCAATATTTGGTTTAATATTTTGAGCATTCGGATATTTTTTTATGGTTAATTATTTGTTTCTATAAGTTGAATTAATAAAATATGTTTGAGTTTTGCATATTATGTTCGTCAGTCACATGTTATACATTTTTATCAATTTGCATCAAATAATAGAAGTATAATATATGAGTAGTTTAAATAAATACTCGTCATATTATTCATATTGTTTATCTACATACAAATTACTATTTATCAAATAATGATATGATATTATTTAATACATGAATGATTAACTGAGTAATTATTTAAGGATATAATTGTATTAAAATTATATGTATGGCCATTATGGTTAATATTTTTATATATTATACTCATGCGGTTACTGATTAAACGGTACTTTTAAATAACGAAATATCCTAATTGTTTAATCGTTACTTATAAAATCTTTATATATATAGATATTGTAAAATAGAAAACACTCTTTGTTAACATATCCATTAACGTTTTTGAATTTTGTATTCTCTCGGGAAGAATGTCTCCATGTGAAAGAATATCTGAAATTACCTTATCATCTGAAGGATGCAGCATATGCATTCAAATCATTAAGAAAATTGTTGAAGATAATGATTCGAGTGACTATAAAGCAACAATGGTCTGTGCAGACAAACATGTAAGTTCTTCAATCACTAAATCCATATATTACTATTTTGGGTCTATAAGCGTTACATGTATTTCAGATAATTTCAAATCCCATTTCCTGATTTGGTATTTTCAATTTCTTCTAGGGTGATAGAATTGTTGCTACAATTCCTAGGAATATAATGTCTATTAATCACAATGAATGTTCGAAGGGAAATTGGTATTTCGTTCGTAAATTTTGCATCAATGAAGTTTCATCGTCATCTAATGCAAAATTCAATAGATATCAGATATCTATAACTGATGATACTCGGTTTCATATGACATCCCCAAAATCTGAAGATCGTATGTATTCTTTTTCAAAATTCACCGAATTAATGCCAATGTTGTTGTCTACATCATCCAAAACTGGTACGTATTCATCTTTCTTATTTTTCATATGTTATACGTTTATATGTAATTGACAGACGTATAACATATATGAAATACCATTTGTATAGTTGAATTGATAGGATGCATAGTAAAAGTTTACAAATTGCCTGAACATGGAGGGATGAAATATGGGAGAGAAGGGATTGCTACCAATAAGTGTATAAAATTTACGATTCAGAATTTTGAGTACGTAACCATCTATACTAATTTTCTCAAATGGTAAATTACATGGGTTTCCTCACTAATCGTAATTATTTTGATTGGGTTGTTATACATATATTTCCATATTTTCATAGGTGTGTTGATATCAAATGTGTCGCATTTGGTAACAATGCTGTCAAGTTTGAAGAGCTCTGGCTAACAAAACCTAGAGACAAAGTAATCATATGTGTATTAAGATTTTGGGAGGTTGGACCATATGGAGGTAATATGAATTTAAATTTTTTTAGTGTTTACTGCGATTGTATTATGCATAAGGGCTAAATTAAATTTTTATATTGCAGATGACATACATATTTTTCCCAATGACAACTTTGATCCTCCTATTCCGGAAGTAGAGAATTCACGTATCATGTAATTAGAAGAAAATATGCACTTTTTAAATTTTTTTGTTTATGAGAAACATTTTGTTAGATATTGTTTAATAATAAATATTTTATTAAATTATTTCAGGTTGGACTACACAAATGATTTTAATAATGTTGAAGATGAGTATCGTGGGTGGGTCATGCCGTTCTATGAGAATGGTTGATTGTTATAAACTGTTTGTATTTTTTTATGTCATATTTATTTTTATTGGTCGGTGAACTTAGACTTTGAAACTATGTCGAATGTTACTGTTATTTTTAAAATGATCTTAAAGTAACTGACACACATAAGAAAGAACTTTTATTTGTTATAAAATAACTGGTCTAATAAGTAACTTTTAGTCGTAATATATTACTACATATTATTACATAACTGAACATTTACTTATAATACATTGATATATTTTACAGTTATAGAAAGCCATTTAAATAATATTATGTAAGAGATATATAAATTCTGAGTTCATACATTTTTATTGAATATATATGGATATAAATCAAAAGTATATATCATCTATTTACTTATTCAAATTTTAAAATATATTCTATTATTTTAAATAATAAACAATCCATATATTTGAAAACATCTTATTTGGAAAGCTGTGATATTTCGGTCAAATGGTAGTTAATATTTTTATAACAGAATACTTTTGGGAAATATTAAACACACAGAACAACATGAATAGTAACCCTCTATTTACTATATAAATAAACAGCATAAGAGAAATTTCATCAAGTTATCGATAATACAACTGATATTCTGATCTGATTTCTCACAGATGTATAAAAAATATCGTTAAAAAGAAGAACAAAATATATTGGTCAGTTCTCAGTATTTTTTATGCATCTGCGATGAATCCGTTCAGTATAAGTAGTTTTTCTCTTCTTTTTTTTGATCTATCACTTCACATAGTAAGTAAACAGCGTTACAATAGAATTGGACTACTATAAAAAAACGATATATCCAGTATAATTCTTTAATAAAATTTGTTTATATAAGGTTTGAAAATCAAAATGTGTAACAAATATAAATCTATTAACTGAAAGTCGAACTGTTTATCTATATCGTTTTCCCAAATTTAGCGCCAATTTTTATTTTTATTTTCATTTGCATTAATATATGAACATTGTAATTAGTGTGAAAATTTTAAGCTACCCAATAATTTGTAGTTATGTTAAAAGATTTTACCTGTTCAAAGAAGAGGAAAAGTACAAGTTATGAAAAAATCTATAAGGCTTCAAAAGTTTAACGAAATATATGGTAGGTAATTAGATTTTGTTAAATATATTTTAATCAATTATACAGTATAATTATCCTTATTAAGTAGTTTAATGGTTCATCACATTTCCAACTGACAAAGCATATTCTCTTATAATTATGTTTAATACTTTTTTCGCTTTTCGATATTAAAAAATATATTGATATCACTACTTAAGTAAAATAATGTACCTATATATTTGGTAACTGTTTATGTTTTCTATTTTAAATTGAAACAACTATTGTGTTAAATGAACAATATTAATTAGATTTGGTTCATCATATTTATAACTACCCAAGTTAATGGTGTCATATATTTGTTTGCAACTTTTTCCACTTATTTTTATAGTTGGTTTTATTAGGATAAATTCGTATACAGTAAACAAATATTTCTTAACTGGTTTGGTATGGTAGTTTAAAAACCCTAGATAGTACTAACTATATATATAGGTATCAGAATTTGGACGAATGTTTATCATATTACTTCTAAATACAGTCCATTTAGCTCGATCGTTGGTTTTGAAAACTAACATACCAGGTTTTTAGTTTTTCTCGATATATTTAGTTTTAATAATTAAGGTTTACACTTACATATGTTTTTTTTTTGTACCAGAAATGATGGGTTACCATCTTCCTTTATCTCTTGGCGAAACCGACGTCAGACGCGGTAAAATTATTACTAAAAGCAAATTTATGGCTTGGATGGAATGCGCCCGTCCCAATCGAACTTTATTTGCTACCAATCAGAGCCTTTATATACTATATTAAAAAAAAATTCGGTTAGGTTAATTATTTCTGGTTTGAGCATACTTCAAAACGTAGTCTATGAACCCTAAATTAAAACTATATTGAATAAGTTGTTCTAATTTGATTCGGTTATATTAATTTTTAATTTATAAACCTCATAATTGTTTATATATGATTTTTGAAAACAAATTTCTGCTCACAAAGTTTTAATATAATTTTTAAATTAAAAATATCAAGTTTACCGTTATAGTAGACTTGTTTTTCAGTTTGCTCAGCAGACTTATAAAAAAGTTTGTAACCCTATTTAGAATTATTCACTTTTATATTTTATCTTAGATGGTTTAAAATGATTTATTTTTATTAAATTCTAATTTATATAGATCATACTTGTTTATATTTGATTTATAAAAACAAATTTCAGTTTCAAATTTTTTTTTATATAAGTTTTTAAGTTTAAATCTAAAATTTAATAATATAGAAGACTTTTTTATAAGTCTGCTCCGCTAATAATTGCAGACTTTTTCATCCGTTTTTTTTTGTTTATTCATGTATGAGATAATAATAATTTCTGTACTCCTCTAACTTATTTTACAAAAAGTTAAATTTAAGGTATACATTTACATTTGGACTCATGGTATATTTTTAGCAATTTCTCTCGTGTCTACTGGTTATTTTATGGATCTATACTCGATTCCTAAATTGCCAACAAAATTTTAGAAGTCTATACTCGAGTCCTAAAAAAAACAATTACCCTAAATATCAAAGTTAATAGAAAAAAATAACAACATTTAATGGAAAAAAATCGATTAAACTGATTAATAATCGAAACCTAGCTTTTTCTTTTATCCGGTAGAGATCAAACTAAAGATGGCGCATCAACCTTGTTTGGGTTGTATAATTGGCTTTCTGCAGGTCGTCTCATTGAGATCAATAAATTGCCACAAATTTTTTAATTTGTTTGGTGCTGTAAAACCTGTATTTTGAAAATATCTAAGAAATTAGGGATTAAAAACACCCATTCAGAAATTTTTTGTTTGACTCTGTCAAAAGGTATTTTGGATGAGGATAATCCATCACAATAGCCTCAAGTTCCACGAAAACGACGTATATCATGCAGTTTCGTAGATAAGTTTCACCATCTTTTGCTAGTTTTGTATATTTAACCAAAGTTCCTAATTATTATATTTTATATTAAAGCCAAGCCAACTGACAATGATTTTTTTTTTTTGGGTTAACTAGGTGATTGTGGCTAAAATTCAAGGACATGAAAACATATAATATTTTTTTTAAAAAAAAAAATATGTAGCTCACAATGAAAATTAAGAAAAAAAAAGGAACGATACATAAAATATTTCAAATTACAAGCAAAAAAACAAAAAAAAAAACGGAGAACTCGTTCGATGCTCAGTCACCACGTCGCATATCCAATACAGTCCCAAGAACAAAATATTTCGTTTTCAGACTGTTGGTAAACTACTGGGAACGGACAACGGCGATTGCATCCAGTGCAAATTGGTCGGGAGAGAGAACTGTTGAGAAGAATCCGAACCTTTATCCACTCTGTACACTCAGTTTCAAATGAGTACTTGGTAAAATAAACATAGTCATTTATCGTATTACCAGGTTTCATGTAAATGTTTACACCAAGTAAACATTCAACATGAAGAGTCCTGCAGCAGTCATCGCATTTATAAAATCGCAATTCTTTTGTTTGGTTCCCGTAATACACTCTTTCTTCTATTGCTTCTATTTTGCCTTCGCAAATCTCACACCAATCTGGTTCATCACTTGCCTCTTTCCCATCGCAAATTGTGAGAAAATGACTGTCATGCTTATACTTAACCTTGTATGGTAAGGTAGCACAACGGAAACATATCATATAATCACATTCAATGCAACAGTTAACTTTCCAACTGTAGCTTTGGTATTTGCACGTTTGACAACGTGCCTCCGGCCGGGGTTCCAAAGGAAGGAATAAAGGATGTTTGTGGCCTTGATAATGAAATGGTTGAGTAATAGAGGCACACCGCAAGTCAAGCTGGAACCTTGTTTCTCCTATCTGATGCTTATAAAAGAAGCCAGTACCATAATAAGAACAAACACTACAACGGAATATACCTTCGTTATTATCAGGTCCGATGGTGGCAACATTTAGTGTAAGTGGATATGGATGTAAAGGATGTCGTTTCATGCGTGGAGCATTTGCGCAACTCTCATGGAGGATGTAGTCGCATTCCATGCATGAATAGAATTGACCTTCGTAAATTGCAACGCAACACCCTCGACAAAGCTTGTTTTCGTCATAAGCTTCGCTGATCTCAAGATGCAGATTGTGACTATGAAAAGGATGGAGTATTATCCCATCAGCTATCCTTTTGAACGGTTCACCATCGTCTATGATATCATCTTCTTCTGGTACTTCATCGAGAACTTTTCCATCCCACACCTTTTTGTCTAACGCACATTTTGAGTGTGCAAAAAAAGCTTCACCTTTACTACAAGAGTATGCGCCATAATTGTTGTCCACCTGTCGATGGCAGACTCCGCAAAACAATTTTCCAGGTGGAAGAGAAGGAGTAAAAGAGAGACGTTGGTGGTGACGAGATATCCGTATGGCACGTGGGAAACCGAGGCATTTTTTATGGATTACGAAGATACACTGGATACAGATGTATGTGGGATCAAGGTTGTTGATCATGCCACATATATGGCAAACTAAAGAAGCTTGTGTAGGGAAATAGCTGAGAGGGTGGGGATGGCTCTTTGGGTGGTCTTCAATAAATGGTATTGATTTCATCGCACATCTTGGATGCATAAATAACTTGCAGGTAGTACACTGATAATACAATTTGGTGTAGATACTTTCTTCACAAGAATTGCATTCCTTACCACTTCCTTCACGATAGAGTCGAAGAGGATGAAAGGGGTGAGAAGGGTGTCTGATCTCAGGTGGAGACTCAACACATTCTTTGTGGAACTTTTCCTGACATTGGAGACATGCATAATAGCTTGTGCTGACCCATGAACTTCTGCATATACCACACTTGAATTCGTCATCAACATCATTGAGATGAACTACAGGGAGCTTACATATTTTATCGTGGTTGCAATCAAGCAAAGATTCGCCTTGTTGATTACCGCTTCTTGTGCTGGGGAAGTGAGCGGGAGAAATAACTGGATGAAGCCGGTAAACATCATCAGCATTGTTCTCCTTTAGTTTTAACTTTAGAAATCTCACACGTGCACTAGGGCAGAAAAAAGAAGTTGAAGGTGGTGTTTCAGTGGAGGAGGCTGGGTTATCTGTTTGTGTTAATGTGTATACCCAATATGATTTTTCATCAACATCCACCTTACGGAATACACCCACAGAACTCATGGTTGCTACAATGGGGATTCGGGTTTGTGATATTCTTCTTCTCCTTTACCCTTTGCATATTTTATAGCAAGTCCTTTATTATAAATGGGAATACAGCTAAGCTTGGTCTTTTTTATATCTTTTGTTATAAATATATAAATAAAAGTAGTTCCTCTGTGCAATTTTTTTATTTATTTATTGATGATCTATTCTTTTCAGAACAGAGGAGGCCGTTTCTTACGGATCTTGTTTTTTTTTGGTGGGGGAGAGGAGACAATGTCTCCTCAATTTTATTAAAACTTAAACACTTCAAACATAAACACTTCGAACAAAATCAACACCTCGAGCATCATCCGCCAGAATCGAAATAACGCAACTCGGCAGTGACTTTAACAAACTAAACCCAAACGGAAGAGTAAATGCATGGTTTGCTAATCCGTCAGCCAGACGATTAACCTCCCTATACACATGTGTGATACGGACTATCCAGTCCCTAGAAAAGAAGCCATGGCACAGACGTATCCAGTTTTACGAATCTTGTTTCTTAAGTTTAGTTTTATACTTGTATATAAAAATGTAGGACTTCACGTTGGCCTCAACATAAGATGCTTGTATATCGGGTGTGGTTTGGTTAATTCAAGTTTAATAAAGTTCTAGCAAATCTCAACAAAAATTAGTTTGGTTCGGTTTGCGTTCAAATTGGTTTAATTCGGCTTAATTTGGTTTGGTTTAGTTATAGTTTAGTTCGATATCAATTCGGTTAAAAAAGTCTTTACTTAAGGATCAAAAATTCACAATATTATTTTTATTACAGTAATTAATTAATTAATAATATTTTTGGTTAACTGGTTTTATCAATAAAACAAATAATGAACATTGGTGTATCGATGCGGTTCATTTTAAATCAACCGAACCAAATTATTCGGGTTGAGCATAAAACTGTCTGATTAAGCCGTGTATGGAATATAGTTTGAGTTCAGTTGGTTTGCTTTAGTTTGGTTGGATTCGGTTTTTTTTTTCACCCCTACGAAGTTGTATAACGTTGACAAAAAAAGGACGCGTATAGAACACAATAATCCCTTTTCTTCTTCTGATTCACGTTCTATAAAATCTCATCTTGAATTACTTGTCCACCAATACTTTTTTTTATATACTATGATTATGTCCTTTGCATAGATAGGAGTAGTTGTTAAACTATATGTTTACAAATTGTCAAACAAAAAAGTTGCAATCGATATTTTTAAACAAAAAAAGTTGCAATAAATAATTGTCACAATAATTTAATTTTGAAAAAAAAAACTGTCAACTATACAGACTGGATTACAGATGTTTGCAAATTGTCAAACAAAAAAACTGCAATCAATATGTTCAAACAAAAAATTGCAATAAATAATTACCAATATTATGAATTAAGTACATGAATGCCCATTTTAAAATTCTATTATAGGAGGTTTAGAATATTTTAAGTTTTTTTTATTCTCCTAATTAAGCTTGTTTTATTAGTCTTTGTAACCTATATATAACTTTTTATTATAGAATAAGAGATAATAATATTTTATGTTTCTCTTTTATTCATAATACTAGATTTTGCGTCCACGACGCGTGAATATTTTGTTGATAAAAATTATATGCAATCAATTATATTTATTAAGATATAAATTTTATATTTTAATATTTTAATAATATATTAAAAATATTATGGTTTTAATAATTTAAATTTTATATATTAATTATATGCAATCTGATATTTTTTATGTAAATTATGAGGTTTTAACGGTTTTTTTAATCTATATACAATATTTCATATTTCAAAAACGTATTATTTGGTCAAACACTTATAAGTTAATACACCCAAACCAACTAAATTTTTTATAACTAATTAAATGCTACTTTTTAAATATAGTATTGACATGATGATAAAATATTATACATTCACTTTTTTAAATTATGAAGATATTTTTTTCATCATTTTCACTTTTATTTAAATTATATATGTGTTCCTAAAAAACAATAGAAACAATAAAATTTAAAATTAAATCTTTTTTATCTTGTTTAACCAATACAAATTTTTATTTTGATATATCAATTTAAAAAACAAACTAGTAAAAAATATTTGCTTTGAGATTAATACGAACTTTAATTTTGAAACCAAAACAATAGTTGAATATAAAATGAATAAAATCACACAAATTTGTGAATTAAATATATCTTTATTAATTGGTAGTGTAAATTTTTAAATAATTTTACAATGATTATATGTTTCATCATGTTCATTTGTATTCTTGTTATATCTTTTTTTTTCCAATGATATGTCATTATTTTAATGATTTTTGTATGATTATATTCAGTTTCATCATATTCATTCTTACTTCTCCTAATTATAATTAAGTAGGCAAAACCGGTACAATTTAATACATATAAATTTACAAAAATGAAATAGCAAATTGAACAACTAAAAACTAAAAACTCCTACATTAATATACTGTAATTCAAAGTGAAATATACAAAATATAATTTTTTCGATCATTTTTGCATAATATATTACATGAGATTATGTGGGAATATGTTTTGCATATATGAAAAAATTAGATGAATATAAATCATAATAGTAGTTATTTAAAATTTTACCTGAAAAACTTAAAATCAAGTGATTTAAACTTGTATAAGTAGCATCTATTTTTTATAGATAATAAATTAAATTTTTAACTTAAACAGTGATAATGGAGATTTTAATATTATGTTGGTTTTTTGTTGTTAATAGAGATTTCTTTATTTTTTTAATTTGTTTTCTTAACCATAATAATAGAATTATGACACTTTTTTTTAATTTACAATTTTGAAATATATAAATAAAATTGAATTTTAAATGCTGATATGGATGCCTTGAAATTAATATAGTTTTCACTGTTTCTAATAATAAAATTATTTTAATTAATAATTTTTATTATAATTAATTTTGTATTAATAATGTAATTTTATAATTTAAAAACTTGTTTAATCTAGTTATTGATCTGGACTAATAAAATTGATCTTTTAAATTTTATATGGATGTCTTCAGAGGCATATAGCTTCAAAAAAATTTATAAACTATTTTTTTGTTAACAATATAATTTTAAAATTTGGAAATTTTCTTAATTTTAAATATTAATGTGGATCAATAGAATTGAACTTTTAAATCACATGTGGACAATCTTCAAAGCATATAGCTTTAACTCTTATTAGCAACAAATTCAGAAATTAAAGTTGGAATATCCCACACGAGACATGTTGAGACAAGTGATTTTGATCTCTTCTCCTTGTTTTAAGGCTTACTGAATATATTTGGATGCTACTTGGTCAGCTAATTGCTATCTGTGTGGTTCAGGTTAGGTTTTTAAAACTCCATCAAATGCCATGTTATTTCAAAAATCTTCCTCTGGTACCTCAGTATCCTTCGTCTTAATGACGGAACATCTTTCTCTATTTTCAGTGCTTCGTTTTTAAAAGTGTCGAGTATCAATCACTTGACATGTTTCTGCTTGGAATTTTTCATTCTTCTCAAATTCAGTGGCCAAACTTTGGAGATTTTACGATTTTTTTCAATATAAGTGACTTGTAGTAGCTTTGTTTATATCTTCTTTCATTATATTCTTTGTAATTTAGTTAAACATATATTTTAGTTAGTTGGTTTTTTTACGTTTTAATGACTTATTCTTTAGTGAAACCTAACTCTTTTTTTTTTAATGGTTTCACACACATTAAAAAAAAAAAACTTAAAATTTATTATAGTTATGTGACCAAAATTTAGATGATAATGTAAGAGTTTCTAAATATGTGTGTATACATCTAATTTAAATTTAATTTTTTATATATTTTCTTTATCTTTAATAATATTTAAAAACAATAATAAAATTTGGAAACTTTTTAATTTTCAATGTTGAGGTGGACCAATAAAAATTTTATACTTAATTTCTTTATTAAACAATAATATTAGAATTTGTAAATATTTTAATTTTTTTATTCAGGAATAATATTAGAGTTTATAAACTTTATTGATTTCTAATCTTGATGTGGACCAATAATATTGCTTTTTTAAATCCTATGTAAACACTTTGAAAACCGTTTAGTTTCAACTTTTATTAGTATAAGATGTTATCAACATGGAACCCTATATAATAATATACCTAAACAAAGCTCTAATCTATCGCTACCCACCAAATAAAACGAAATTTTCACCAAAACCCCTAACTGATCTCTCATCGTGGATACCCATCAAGCTAAGTATTTTTTTTTTTACATTTCGTTTGGTTCGATTAATTCTGTAGAACCAAACTCATTATTTGTTTCTTTATTGTTTATTAAATAAATATCATAAATATGCAGATTTATAATTTAATATTTATATAATTCATGAAAAAATTATCAAAAATAAATAAATTACCCATGAAAATATATAATACATAGAAAAAACATTTATGTTGTAATATAAATTGAAGAAAACAATTGGTAAACTAGATGCAAGAAATAGTTTTTGATACGATTATTAGAATTTAAGTTTTTGGTGTGTAATTTTTTAGGATTTCTACAGTAAAACAATATAAATGATTTTTGTTTAACAGATCCAATGTTTAATAATCCTTATTGTTATTTAGATTTTCAATACTCATTATTTCTCTCTTGATATTTCTGTAAACAATAAAAAACATTGGTAAATTCATGTAACCTTGTAAATATTATCTAATGCTTAAGGTTTGAAAAAATTTCTGTGATTGTGAGATCGAAGATCTATCAGTTTGGTTATATATATAGAGTAGAGAATTAAAAAAAAAAATTTAGGACTGTATTTAATTTTTCAGTTTCCTTAATCTAAATAAAAATACTGATTATTTTTTCCTTTTTAAAAAAACTTTAGCTATTTAGTAGTTTTCATTTGAGAAAATAGATTTTTTTTCTTATTGTTCTTTTTTTTGAAATAAATAACTAAAATTATATATTTTATATTATTGCATTGGCACATATCACAATCTAAATTAATGATGACA